CCCCCACACACACGGGTCAGAGGTTTTAGAGGTATGATTCTTTAGGTTTCTAATATTTAAAACTCTCTATATTTTTTATTGTTGCTGCAAATATGGTTTATTTGCTTATGTATTGCAGATCTGTCCAGTCCTGTCTCTGCTGATAATATGGATAAAGACAAGGTGCCTACTCCTGCTTCTAAAAAAGCCAGTTCCAAAGCTAAACATTGTAGTGAATGCTCCACTCCTTTACCAGATGGTTTTAAAAGGAAAGTTTGTAATATTTGCTCTTCTTTGACGCTAGAAAAATCCAAGCAACAAGAGATGAAATCCTTTTTGTCTTGGTTTCAGGATAATCTGGCCCAGACTTTTGAGTCTTTTAAAGAGCCTGCTCTCCTTTAAAAGCTACTAAATAGGAGGCTAAAAGGAAGAGAACACCGTCTAGTTCAGAACTATCCTCGGGTGAATGTTCTTTTTCTTATTCAGAATCCTCTAGCGACACTTCTGTTACTGAGGTTGGTTTTCCTCATGATGAATTGAGAAAATGTATTAAAGAGGTTAATGTTATGCTTGCTGATGAAACGGTAGACAAATAAAGGGTAAAGCACTTCCAGTCCAACAAAAAATGCTGGATTTTATATTCAGAAAATGGAAGAACCCTGAGAACAGGGCTTTTATCTCCAGACATTTTAAAAGTTTTGTTAAAATGGAGGAGGAAGATAAATGGGAAGAATTGCTGGTAGTTGATGTTCAAGTGGCTCAATTGTCTAAAAAAACTACCATACCTATTGGGGAAGTTTCTGGTCTGAAACACCCTATGGATAAGAGGGCTGAAACTTCCAGCAGAAGGGCTTATCAGGCTGCAGGTTTTCAGGCTAAAGCAGCATTAGCCGGGGCTTCAGTGGTGAGAGCTCAGAATCTTTGGCTTAACACTTTGGAAGATGGTCTGGGTGATAACCAAGACAAAGGCCTTTCCCTTCTGTTCCAAAATTTAAGGTTGTATAATGAGTACCTTATGGATATTATGACGGAGGTGATTAAGCTTTCAGCTCGTGTCATGGGTTTGACATCTGTGGCCCAAAGGGCACTGTGGTTTAAGGCCTGGACAGCAGACACTGCATCAAAATCTGCATTATGTGAACTGCCTTTGGAGAAGAAAAAGTTGTTTGGTTCTCCTTTAGAAGAGTTAATCCGACAGATGTCGGAAACCAAGAAGGCCCTGCCTCAAGACAGAAAATATGCCTGGAAACCCAGGTATAGAAATTTCCAGTTCAAAAACCATAGGGGCTTTCAAGAAAAACCCAGGTTTTTTTGTCAACAAAGGAAAAATCTAAGATTTGACACACAAAAAGACAATAAGGCTGACAGAAACAAAAGTTTCTGACACCATCAGAGTGGGCGGAAGGTTGCAAGGTTTTGTTCACAGATGGAGGGAAACCACTACAAATCCATGGATTCTGAATCTTGTGCAAAAAGGATACTGAATAAAATTCTTAGATGTTCCAAGATCAAGTTTCCTTGTCTCCTCCTACCGGTCGAAGTTAAAAAACCAAGCCCTTTTTTCTGCCACGGTCTCCCTATTAAGAAAAGGTGTGGTAGAAAGGATTCCAACTTCCAAAGTATATCGGGGTGTATACTCCTGGTTGTTCCTAGTCCCAAAACTGGACATGTCTTTTCGGCCAATCTTGGATCTAAAAAACCTGAACAAGCTCATTCCTTACCAACATTTCAGAATGGAGATTATAGCGTCTGTCACTCATATCCTTCGAAAAGGAGATTTCATGGCAACTTTAGATCTAAAGGATGCCTACCTGCATATTCCTATGGATGTGAAATCAAGAAAATACCTGAGGTTTGCTATAAGGAAAGGGAAAAATGTCCATCATATCCAATTCAGAGCCCTTCCATTCGGGCTAGCTTCAGCACCCAGGATTCTTACAGGTCCTCACGCCTGTCACAGCTTTTTTGTGGATGCAAGGAATCACAGTAGTACCTTACTTGGACGACTGGTTAATAAAGGCAGATTCAAGAGGCGCTCTAGAATCAGATGTGGCCTATACACTAGAAATCCTGGAAGAACATGGTTGGATTATCCACCTAGAAAAATCACAGATTACCCCTACAAGATCTATCCTGTTTCTAGTGTTTTTGATCAAGTCAGACACTCTGTTGGTTCATCTGAAAAGAGAAAAAAGATAAAGATTTTAATAAAAAACCTTCTTTGGATGTCAGAATGTTCGGTGAGGAAAGCCATGCAGGTTTTAGGTCATCTGACCTCTACAATCCCGGCAGTAAAATGGGCCAGAGCGGAATCAAGGCCCTTACAGTGGGAAATTCTTGTCCAATAGTCAAAGAAGGAAGAAGACTTGGATGCATTAATGAGTATATCAGATCATAGAAACATAGAAACATAGAATGTGACGGCAGATAAGAACCATTCGGCCCATCTAGTCTGCCCAATTTTCTAAATACTTTCATTAGTCCCTAGCCTTATCTTATAGTTAGGATAGCCTTATGCCTATCCCACGCATGCTTAAACTCCTTTACTGTGTTAACCTCTACCACTTCAGCTGGAAGGCTATTCCATGCATCCACTACCCTCTCAGTAAAGTAATACTTCCTGATATAATTTTTAAACCTTTGTCCCTCTAATTTAAGACTATGTCCTCTTGTTGTGGTAGTTTTTCTTCTTTTAAATATAGTCTCCTCCTTTACTGTGTTGATTCCCTTTATATATTGAAATGTTTCTATCATATCCCCCCGTCTCGTCTTTCCTCCAAGCTATACATGTTAAGATCCTTTAACCTTTCCTGGTAAGTTTTATCCCGCAATCCATGAACCAGTTTAGTAGCCCTTCTCTGAACCTTCTCTAAGGTATCAATATCCTTCTGAAGATACGGTCTCCAGTACTCTGTACAATACTCCAAGTGAGGTCTCACCAGTGTTCTGTACAATGGCATGAGCACTTCCCTCTTTCTACTGCTAATACCTCTCCCTATACAACCAAGCATTCTGCTAGCATTTCCTGCTGCTCTATTACCTTGTCTGCCTACCTTTAAGTCATCAGAAATAATCACCACTAAATCCCTTTCCTCATATGTTGAGGTTAGGACTCTATCAAATATTCTGTACTCTGCCCTTGGGTTTTTACGTCCAAGATGCATTATCTTGCACTTATCCACATTAAATGTCAGTTGCCACAATTCTGACCATTTTTCTAGTTTACCTAAATCATTTGCCATTTGGCTTATCCCTCCTGGAACATCAAGCCTGTTACATATCTTAGTATCATCAGCAAAAAGACATACCTTGCCATCAAGACCTTCTGCATTATCACTAATAAAAATATTAAAGAGAATGGGTCGAAGTACAGATCCCTGAGGTACCCCACTGGTAACAAGTCCAAGCTTCGCATATATTCCATTAACTACAACCCTCTGTTGCCTGTCACTCAGCCACTGCCTTACCCATTCAACAATATTGGAATCCAAACTTAAAGATTGCAGTTTATTGATAAGCCTTCTATGTGAAATAGTGTCAAAAGCCTTACTGAAATCTAGGTAAGCAATGTCTACTGCACCACCCTGATCTATAATTTTAGTTACCCAATCAAAAAAACATGGCTGCAGCAGCCGATCCCATCCCAGCATGGTCGTCGCAGCTGCACATGCGGTCTGCGGTGACCAATCCCACATGCTTCCACCATAGTGACGCCCTACATTCCCACTCACGTCCCACACAATGTCTTATTTCCCTCTCAATATGGCCAACGTGGCCGCACACATGAGCTGCGGCAAAAAATCCCACACCCTCTCATTATGTGTCCACGTTCCTTTATTGTGTTCTTGGTCACCACCCAATCTTTCCTGTTCCTCCCTCGCCTCCCACACGCCCTTCCCCTGCACCAGCCTATTGATAGACACATTTTTTTTTTTTATAAAAGGACAAGAGAGAAAGAAAATAAAAAGTGGCTTATTTTCTTCTAGTCAATGACTACAGCCCCCATAATGCCTGGGGGGAGGAGGGGCGGGGCATACTGTTTTTGCCCACACCAGATGTTACACTTATTAACTTTTAAATGTCTAATTTTACATCTATTTCTCATCTATTTCTCTTCATTTTTTTTATTTATTAATAATATTTATGATTGGTAACAAATACTTTTACTTGTTGCCCTGTCGTGGTTCCCCTTGGCTGGTTATCCGAGAGAGTGTTCCTGATCTTATTATTTCAGGTATTTAACTTTGGCTTTGTTTTGACTTCCCTGATTTCTGGTAACCTTGACTTTTGGCTTTACCTCATCGTTGTGTCTCATTCTGTATCCCCAACCTCGGCAAGTATTCTGACTATTCTTGGATACATTAAGTCCGGCCATTCTAAGGTCCGGTTAAACGTTATCCTTAGTCCTAGGTGTGATATTATTCTGCGTGCTGGATACACCAGTAATCCTGACACATACATAGTTTAACTCGTCATGTGTGAATACAAGAATGATATATTGACAGGTATATATAGCAATAAACTCCTTAGGGAATCAGCCTAATTTTAAAAGTTAAAATAAGAAAGAAAATGCAAACCAAAAACCGTTAACTTGAAGGTTCAAAATATGAACACAAACATATG